CCGCACCAGCGGGGCCTCCTGACGGGCCGCCTGCGTGGGCTGCTGCGCGGGGCGCTGCGGAGGACGCCCAGGGGGGTGCAGTCTTCGGGGGGAGAGGCACGCTGACCATGACCAAGGTATTACGGGGTCCCGTGGGCGCTGGGGTTTGGTCATGGTCCATGCTGGCCGTCGCTGGTTCGCGAAGATGATCCACGAGTTGACTGTGACCAAGATGGACGGTGACCAATAAAGACACCGACGTTTCCACGTTCAGTCCAGGTCATGGTCACCGTTCTCTTTCCTTCAAAATCTGCTAATTTTTCCACCCGTGGAGGGCTCGAGATGCTTTCCAGTTGTCCTCCGGACAATCTTCAAGTTGTGCAGGGCAGCGCCCCGGCAGTCCAGAATTTTCTTTGCACTGCGGGGTCTGTTGGCGGCCACAAGACACCCAGGACCCATCCAAGACGGCCCAAAGGCCACGGCCGCGCAGGGCGCAGAGTGCCCACGGATCCTGGGGAGCCCGTCCGAGCCGATTCGGAGGCCCTGAAGTCGGCGCTAGCCAAACACACTAATACTATGTGTGCGTCGCCCCAAGAGGGGCGACGCGCGCGCCGAGAAATCTTATGGTATATGCTCCACGGCGGGCGCCTCTTTCTGGCCGCATCGCCCTGGAAGCCATATACTACAAATAATCGTATCATATGTTCGGTTCGGACGCACGCCTTCGTGGAGGACACATAGCCCAGACCCCCGTTTTTGTAATATATATATATATATATATATATAGAGGTAGACCCATTCCCCTGGACCGATTTTTCATCCTGAGTTTTCTTTTTACGGTCCCGAGGCCCGGCGAGGGCCCCCAGAGGCCGAAAATTTCGAAGAACCTTCCGTCGTGTTTTTTTCATGACTTGAGGGGGTGTGGGAGTAGTGGCATGTCCCTGTGCGCCCCATGGACGCTCTTTGGCTGGGTGGGTCCCGCTCCCATCGTCCTGCGGGGGCCCAGTCCGTTCGGCCCCTCCGCGCCTGGCGGCCGAGGGTCGGCTCGGAGAGTAGGCCCTGGTGGCAGCCTGGAGACCTCCTCGTGGGCTTTCTTTTGGCATGATCTCCGAGTCGCCGCGTATGAGGACACGCGCACATATCCATCTATCTGTCTACCTATCCATCACAGCATCTCTCTATACATATGTGCATGCATGTGTGTATGTATGTATGTATGTATGAATGTATGTATGTATGTATGTATGTATGAATGTATGTATGCTTGCTTGTTTGGCTGCTTGTTTGTATATATGTACGTTATGTGTGTATGCATGTATGTATGTATGTTTGTATGTATGTATGTATGCTAGTTCGTTTGTTTGTATGCATATACATTGGTTATCTATGCATGCAAGTATACATGCATGTATGCCATGCTTGTTTGTTTGTTTGTATGTATGCAATTATTCATATATACATGAATGTATGTTTGTATTTATGTATATATGTATGCATGCACATATGCACGCATGTATTTATGTTTATATGTAGTAATGTAGGCGTGTGTATGCACGCATGATTGTTGTGTTTATTTGATTGTATGTATGCATGTATGTATGTATGTATGTACGTATATTGTTTATGTATGCCTGTATATAGATATGTATGTATGCATGCATGTACGCATGCATGTATGTGTATGTATGTATGCATGTATGTATGCATGCATGCATGTATGTATGCATGAACGTATCTGTGTGTACGTATGTATGTATGTAGATATGTATGTATGCATGTATGCATGTATGCGTGCATGTATTTATGTATGTATTTATGTATGTATGTATGTATGCATGTATGTATGTATGTATATATGTATGTATGTATGTATGTATGTATGTATGTATGTATGTATGTATGTATGTATGTATGTATGTATGTATGTATGTATGTGTGTGTGTATGTATGTATGTATGTATGTATGAATACATGTATGTATGTATGTATGCATGCATGCATGTATGTATGTATGTATGTATGTATGTATGTATGTATGTATGTGTGTTTGTATGTATGCTTATGTGCATGCATGTATGTAGACATGTAGATCGGTAGGTAGGTCGGTATTGATCCATCGGTGGGGTGCGGCCCTCTGGGGCCTCCAGGACTGCCAGGACGGCTCCGCGATCCTCCAGGAACGCTCCAAGACAGCTGCATGGCGGCTCAAGCGGTCTCGAGACGGCGACGAAAGTCTGCCCAGAAGTGCACCAAGATCGCCCATGAGACCCGAGGAGAGCCGAACATAGTCTCAGGAAGGCCCCACAGAGGACTCTAAAACGAGAAGGCCGTCGTTTCCATTTCAGTTTTTGAAGGATTGCACGGTTTTGATTGTTCGGTTTCCGATCGCCTAAATGAGCTAAAAAGGGATCCGTGTGACAATCTATGTCCTCCGATGCCGAACAGTTTAGACTACAACGAGAGCTTGCTAGAAACTAAGCGCGCGCGAAGCGCGCGTGGTTATAGTTTTTGGTGTGTGTAT